GCCGGGGGGTGCTTGCGGGGACAGCCCGAAGAGCTGCAGGTCATCTACGAGGGTGAGTGAGGGCAGCGCGGTGTCAGCGGGGGCTGGTGGAGGAGCACGGAGCCTGGGCAGGGAGCTGCAATCCTGCCCTGGCTGTGGAGGGCTCTGCTCCCTGCACGGACAGAGCAGAGAGAGATTTCAGGGGCATGAGGGGTTTTGGTGGCCAGCACCTCCTGGCTGATCCTGTTGGGCCCTGCTCCCTCTTGGCCATGGCAAGAGCTGGGTGGGATGGTCCCGGCTGGAGGGGCTCCTCGGGTCCCCACCCATCTGGGCTCTGACCTTGGCTCTGTTCCTCTCTGTTTCAGCCCTTCAAGCCATGAGAAAAGACAACTGCCCCTCCTACACAAGCGTGATGGTTCAAGCCCTCTTTGACCAAAGAGCTGCAGTATTAAATTCATCTTCTGCATCGAGACAAGCGATGTCCCTAGAAAAGCACCAGATACCATTCAACAGGAGACCACCTGGAGACCAGAGGAAACCATCTGGAGCTCCAGGCACCGATGCCAAGCCCAACTGAGCCTGCCAGGAAGGCCTTGTGGCTCCTGGCCTGTCCTTCCCTCTTGACCCGTCCCTGCCTCCATACTGCTCCATCCCTTTAGCCTTCAGACCCAGCCCGTTCCCTTCTCCTGCTCCCAGCTCATCCCTCCACTTCTTCTTCCCTTAATAAACAGTTGGGTTTCTCCCCAAATCTGCATCTTTGTGGAACTGAAATGGCACAAAACCTGAGCCCTGGAGCACACGGGGCCTTTCTTTTTCCCCCTTGCGCCATGTGCAGAGACAGAGAGGGACAAGGGCAGCTCAGACTGGAAAGGTCCCTGTCCTGAAGGTCCAGTTCCAGAACACTGTGGCATTAAAGATCTTGGTGGGCACACTGAAGGCCAGTGGTAGGACAAAGAGCCTGAATATTAGCAGAGCCAGCTTCAGTCTGCTCTGAACCGAACTGTGAAGGTTTCCATGGCAAGCATCCATGGAGGGCAAAGGAGCTTGGAATGCTGGAAGTTACTCAAGAATAGCTTCCTGAAAGCACAGCAATGGTCCATCCCTCAAAGGGGAAAGAAGAAGGCAGAAACAGAGACCACCGTGGCTTAACAGTGAGTTTTGTGTGTGCTTGAAAGCAAAGGAAGAAGCAGCACACTGCCTGAGACACAGACACGTGTCCATCCCAGTGTAAGGAGCACTGCCAGGCAGTGCCTGGGTACCGTGCCCAAGTCTGGTCCCCACAGTTCCAGAATCACAGCCCCTGCATCAGACACAGTCAGAAATCAAAGCAAAGGAGACCAGAGGGAGGGAACCGTTCCAGTCTGTCTTGGGCGTTACTGCAGAACAGCCACTGCTTCTTGCTCCACCTGGATCTGGGCTTTGCTGACCCCAGAGCCAGCCAGGTTGTGCTCTGGTACCCAGAGGCTGTTCAGAGAGGGCAGGAAAAATGCTCCATGCAGAGTGGAGAGTCCCGGACGTTGCTTATAAGAGCATCCCGCAGGAACAGGGATCTGGCCTCTTGCTGAAAACACTCAGGGTTTGCTGCCAGGCCTGGAGGCAGGAATTCAGGGCTGTGAAGATGCCAAAGCAGCCCAGCTGTGTCTGCAGAGGGCCTGGGGCTGGGAGTGTGAACCTACAGCTGGAAACACACTTGGAGCAATAGGAGCTGGAGTGGCTGTTCTTCAAGGAGCAGAAGGAATTCAGCCTTGCCAGGGTTTCTGAAGTGTGTATTGGTGTTCCCCAAGAAAGCGACAGGTTTGGGTAAATGCCTTTGGAGACAAGGGGCTTGTTCCTCAAGGAAAGTGCTTCGCAAAGAGTTCCCCATGAGGTTGGTCCAAAGGTGTCCCTTTGGCTCTCCGTGTCCTTTCACTCCCTGTGGTCCATTGCACTTTGTAGAGAGGCAGGGGAAGGGGGAAGGCTGTGAAGAGCAGGTTTGGGTTCTGCCTGTGCCTGCGGAGACCAAGCCAAGCAGCTGCCAGCAGGCTCTGTTAGCCACCTTTCAGCAGAGGTCTGAGCAGGAGCATCTCTGTGCAGCTGAGAGCCCCAAAGCTGTCTGGGAGAGCTGTGAATTCAAAGGCCTTTATCCACACCCTTATGCCATCTTACCTATCTGGGCTTTTGAATTCCCAGATGTATGTCGGTGTAGAGTCGTGACAGCCAATAAAGATACAAGGAGTCAGTTATGTGCAGAAAAGATGCCTGAAATTTATTTTTCTCATCTGGTTTTTTATACCCCTTGCTAGCAGCAAGCAGTATCCTTATTTTAGGTAAGCAAGCAACAGCATTTTCATTGGCTAGGATCTATGTGCGATACATTTGGCAAAGCTCAAGGCCTTATTGCAGTTCCCACATCCTAGGCCTATCAGCTTTACAGCCTACCTTTGTTT